AAAATTATTTAAAAAATGTACGTAAAATCATTAGTGCAAGTACAAAATGGTATAGTAAGAATTATATTTAAGATGAAAATATATACAATTAAATATGAGCTTCTGTGTCAATAAATCTTCATCCATCTTTTTAAGTCTTTTTCAATTTGTTAACGCTAATTTTGTCAGTGAAGAGATGGTTTGGCAAACTGCTCCAGTCTCTGATGATTCAAAGACGCTTAAATTAAAAATTAAGTTTACTTTTGTGATCCAAAGTCAGAAAATGAGGCTATCTTGTCTACATTCCAACTTCAAATGATACAGTTTTTCACTTTCTCATGTGCCTACATTGCTTTTTTCAGTACTTTCTTGTGTTTTGAGGGAATGCTAAGAATATTGAGTGTATATTGCAAATGGACATTTGACATGTGAGGCCACTGGAGACTTCTTATTGTAAAATTCATGCTGCTTGTTGTAAGTGCTGACTAAGTTATGAAACATTTCTAAATAAAAGAGTAGAGAAGCTACAATCCATCAAAAATTTGGTGTTTGAAAACAACAAAAGCATTCGAGACAACTTGAGAAGAGGTTGATAATACCTATACTACATCCATAAAGTCACATTTGTTGCTTACCTGATGACTGCACTGTGTGGATTGAACAAGAGCACTATTTGAAGTCCTGGGTGACTCTGGCGAAAACAACATACATACGAATTGACTTGTTTATGTCTGTTAGAGGCTTAGTAATAAGACCAGAAGCTTGTTGAGAGGATGGGAGTTTTTGCTCTGCAGTTTGTCCTGAGGAGGACCCCCCCCCCCCAACAAAAAAAAAAGCAAAAAACTAAATACCAGTTGGACTGGTTGGACTAGGAAAAATAAATCAGGATGGCTGAGGTAATACACAGCCTTTCCTGAGTTTATTATGATATTTTACATGGCTTGTGATTGAAAACTTTGTTTCAGATTTACAATTAACAAGTCATTCAATCACAATATATCTTATTTTGTTCTTCTCAGGAAAAATTATTTTTGGTCTTCTGGACTTTCCATGACGAACACTCAAACTTCTTAACTTTCCAGGCCTTGAAAGTGTTACTGGAAATTCCATGACTACAAGGTTTTCCAAGACTGTACTATGACTGTTATGCTACTAATGAGTTGTGAACAGTTTAGACCAAAAGAAATAACACAGTAAGGGTGCCTTTGATAAGGGCGGGATCTCCTTATATTAAGCTCGTCCGCTGACCTTTTGTCACATTGATGTCAGATAGCACTGTCATCCTTGTCAAAGTCTGTCCAGCAGCTAATTTTTCTAGAGCAGCCAAATGATCATGTATCTTCCCCTGCTCAACTCTAAGAGGACTGAAAGATTCAATGCTTTAATCTGGGAATGTTTCTTTAGCATACAAATTTTAAAATTCTATAAATTCACAAAGATGGCATAAACATTCACAAAAGCAGTAAACCAGTAGTTTTAAAGACTTACCTAAGGATTTCGGCAGGGATGGTGAGCTTTTGTGGTTCAAGAATTGGCTTTCTGATGGGCTGCACATACAGTCAGTGAGAAGAAGAGAAAGCAAATTGAGACATGAAGAGGTTATCAATCATGTTTTTTAATACTCTATATGAAAAAATACTACTTAGGAATAGTTTCTATTCTTGCGCACAATTTTTTTAACCCCATTTGAAGTCTTCAGTTTTTATCTGGTATTTTTTGGCAACACATGTTAATCCTGCAAACCAGCACATTGTGTAAACCCTGCCAACTCATTTTAACAAGAGAAAATGAACTTTGAATTATGGTGAACATTAAACTTTCAGTGTTGAATCAAATGACATGACTTTCACTAAAATGATGTAGAGTCACTGAAAAGTCATCCCAAACAATCATTATCTCTAATTTTTAGCTTATTTACAAGCATTAAACTGCCATTAAGACAGCATGCCAGGTCAAAATTGTCAAGAAAATCAAATAAAAGAGACTTGCAGTGATTTTGTTAATCTTATTCATTTACTTATTGAGTTATTTTTTCAGAAAAGTTTTCACCTTTGAAAGCTCATGTGTTGCTGAAGAATCATCCATCTTGTGTCGTTTAGCCTACAGAATAATATGACTAATTAACTACATTCGTTCCAGTAAAGTTGAAAAAGTTAAAACAATCAACTCTTCCTCAGAAAATATTGACAATAAACTCTTCCGAGTTGCAACCTTCTTGTATGTTTTAAAAGGCATTTGTCACACAGCAGGCAGCCTTCCTAATGCTGTGGCTGTGGCACTGGTACAAGAATATTGTTCATAAATGACAGATCTATCATTGCTACCTTTGGCTTTAAACAGTTCCCAGCCATCTGTCTGTGCACCAGGATAATTCAAGCGTCATACTCTGACTCTGTTCATGTTTTTCAACTCAACAATTTGACATAGTGAAATTGAACTCTGTGCATACCTGATTCAGAGGTAAAGCCACATCTCTATATCTCTTATGGGCCAACAACTTGCCTGAAAAAGGAAAATGGGACAACAATGGCGTAAGAATCAAAAGCCTTAAATCTGAGAAAGATAAACAACATCAGAGTGGAGAAGTCTACAATTGATTGGTTGCACCATAATTGCGCCTGCAGGCTATGAATCAGGAACACTACAAAGACTTCTTGAAGAAGCTTTGCCACTTAATTTCCAGCAACAGCTGTGATGTAACACTAAAGTAGTAAACCACAAAAGAATGAATATGGTTACAGATGGAGAGTCAGAGGGCTTTATTATCTTTACTTCAATGTTACATATAAGTAGGATCATTTATTGCAGCATATATAACATCTATGATCATGGCCTGCAGAAAAAAAGAGGTCAAATAACGCAAACTAAACACAGGAGTTATACTGAGTTGAGAGATTTTGATCCAACACTCACCAATTGTTCTTCTGACAAATGGCTGGTTAACTATAGTTCTTGACTTGGAAGCAAAGTTCAGAGTGTTAACCGTATCTGCATAGAACCTCATTTCAGGTGCAATGTTGGCAATCATACAAGAATGTGCTGAACCACCGAGTGAGTCCTAATGGGTTAATCAGACAGATAAGAAAGATAGAACTTTTAAGATAACTATTAAAACTTAAAATTTGAATGGAAAGGTTAAAATGCTCCCACTGATAGTAAATGGTC